ATTTTATCTGCAGTGTGAACAAGCAGACAAAAAAAGTCAGATTTGATCAAAAAAATCAGAATTGAGCATTAAGACCTGCAGTGTGAACGTAACCAAAGTTACAGTTAATCTCATGGTTAAAACTGTAGATATGAATCTAAATCTAGTTGTAGCACACAGCAAACATGTTTAATTCTGATCTACAGTTGAACATTTAAACATGAGTTTTTTTGGGACTGACTCAATTTTGGAGCCAGCCTCCAGTGACCACTTGACACTCGTATTAATATATGTGAGTGTTTTTAAAAAGAGTATATTACGTCTGATTATAATAAGGAAGAGAAGTTCTATGAAAACACTGCTTTGTTTTAATGTCGTCTTAGCATTTCTTTTTTAATTTGCAGCTCACCTTTTCATCTTGACTCACTCTAAAAAAAGTTTCCATGCAAAGTTTTAGGTTATGTACAGAAACAGGAAATAAACCAGAATTCTAATATTAACTTACTGTCACGGAAATAAAGGGTGGAAACTAAAAAGCCTTTTGTTGCCTCTTCTTCCTTCTTGTATTTCTTTTTCTTCTTCCACCATCTATCCACTTTTTTCTCCCTCATCTAATTATTCATTGATGCTGTACAATGTTTTTTTTCCTACTCACAGCGTTAAGGAGGTTTCCGGCCTGCAGCACCAGGTGGAGAACAGCATGGAGCTCCTCGCAACACATTAATTCTGGAGGACGGAGACAAAGTAAAAGAAATGATGTCTTCATTTGTGTCAGTACATAAAGGATAAACCAATGCAAAAGCATCACCTGCTGGAAATAACTGTAAAAAGAGAGTAAAGAGAGAAAAAGCACAAAACCTGTGCAGTAAAGATACAGATAACATGAGCTTATGGTGCTAAAATCCCACTGCGTTGCTGTATTATCACATGCAGTGTTAGCATGTGGAAGGTTAGTTAACAGTTCAGGCAGTTATCAAGTTCACACACACTCACTGCTAAAAATACTGAAGGTGTTCGTCTGTATTGGGTGGAGGATGTAAACGAGGAGGAGAAGGCTTTACTGCAGGTATTTCTGCACCAACGACATTCAGTCCAGATTTATTGCGTTTTATTTCTTTTCATCTTTTTTATTATTATTTTATTTTGTTAAAAAATATTCCAGAGTTTCATACACAGATCTCTTTTCTTTCTTTCTTTTTTTACAACTTCTGAATCAAACGGCTCACTCCTTCACTTAAAGGTGAAAGTACTGATTCTGAGACATTGTAACACAATCTGTGTAACAGAATCTGCTAAATCTGTGAAAGTGTTTCTAGAAGCTTCTTGGTTACACCTCTGCGTGGTGATTCTGAAGCTAAATGAATCCTCTGAGATCGATGTCATCACTGACGACGACCCCAAACAGAACCTTATGTTTGGAGTCAAGAAAAATAACTTTTCTGGAGGTTTTTAATGTTTTGGATGGATGTGAGTCGGTGCGATTTCTTTGTTGTTTGTTCATTGCCGAGACACAGAGATAAGGTTCATCAGCAGCAATGAGCTGCATCTCAGAGTAACTATAAACATGCTCTATGCAACTTTTAACACGTATTATTTATTGTATATTTGACCAAACCCCACTTTACCTCAGTGCCCTGATCCCAGTGTCAGGAGTCAAACGTTACTTTTTAAAAAAAATGTAAAATTAATTTTAAAAAGTTGATGAGTTTGCTCTAAAAACTTTTACTCTCCACCACCATCGTTGGTGTTCATGCCATTCTCTCAGTAATTTCAGTTCATACAACACAGATAGAAGCAGCCTGGCCACACAATCTCTACCTGCCTCCTGCAGCACATTTGCTTGTGGTAAGGAATAAAACATTGTAACACACTCAGTGTTGGTTCTGGTCGTTCTCTGCTCTGCGTTGACACTGAGACAATAAGTAAGAGAAGAGAAAGCAGAGCTGTGGCCTGTGTGAGCTCCCAACAGCGGCTGCATGCAGAGAGCAGCTCATCCGTGTGCCGATGATGCTGCGAGCGTGTTACCTTTGATGGCGGCGCGAAGGATCTTAATGTCCCGTTTCATGGCCTCGCACGCTGCCGGAAAATCCTCCTTTAAGAGCATGGATTCAATGCGGACTGTGTAACTGCAGACCGAGAGAGAGGGGTGAAAATGAATTGATTAATACATTTTTATTTTGCGTCCAAGCTGGTACACATCACTAAATACAGCTAATGCTACTACTTTACATACTCTCGTAGTAACTGTATACCAGCAGCTGGCAATTAGTTTGAACTGTGGGACTATTTTTAGCGCATCTCATTAAGGAGATGTTGTTATTGGTGTGTGGGGGAGCTGCAGGCATGTAATTGATTCAGCTTGATGTTTTTGAAATGATCTGAAGGCAGATGTCACATTACCAGCGCTCCAGCAGCAGCTACTTACTAACATTTGTTTGTTTTGTTGAGCACAAATTGATGCATTAACGGTTATGATTCCTGAGTCACTGTGAGTCAGCTCTGTTAACTGTCACAAGGTCCTGTTTAGTGATACAAAAACATTTTCCCCCACTTAGAGCTAGAGCTGGTACACAGGCCACTTTTACCCAACACTGTTTCACACCAGTGCATCATGTTTGCAATGTAAAAATTCAAAGTAACCACTGTACAGCCAGTAAAAGTATTTATGTTTAATGTTGTAAGTATACAAGTACAAGTACTACAAAAATGTACTTTTTTGGTGCAGTATTGCAGTGAATGCAACGGTGAAACTGTACAGACAGTGGAAGTATTTTCAGTGTAAAACTGTTTCATGGATCTTGCATGAATATTGGAAATGTTAAAAAAAAAAGATCATAAAGGTTTAATTCTAATTTCTGAAACTTGCAGTGAAAGTTGAACGCAGCATAAAACTGAATAACTAAGTAAAAGTTCAGCGCTCACCTGGGCACCTGAATCAGCCGGTACATGAAGGAATCGGCCAATGAGAGCTGAGAGACTTCGCCGCGGTGTGCCTTCAGTTTCTTCACCTTCATGAGTGCAAAAAGATGGATCAGAAAAAAAAACACACATCAGAGAGTGTGTGTGTGTGTGTGTGTGTGTGTGTGTGTCTCTCACCTCTTCAGACTCTGGCAGCAGTTTCAGCATTTCTCTCAGACGCTCCACCCCAAAAGCCTCACTGTTGCCATGGCAGATTTCATCTACTATAGTCTCATTGGACCTGGAGGAAGAAGATGTTTCAATTTAGTGTGAGCAGCGATATAAAAAACAAACAACACTCATTGTGCTGAAGTTAAGAATTAAAATGGCATCAAAATAACATTACACTAAGCTGCTCTGGGTTTTCCCCCCACAGAGATTTAATTACCATCTGCACACGTACAAGGTACACTCAGTTCACTCTGTCAGGTTAAAATTCAAACAAGAAAATGAATAATTTAAGACACAGTTTTATCACTTTGTGAACTCCAACCTTTTGCTTTTAAATGATAATTTCATTTTCAACATTGAAACAATGTTATATATTCATTCAGGAATTAGCCTGAGACGACATTTATAGTTATTTTTCTGTTGACTGGAAGCACCTTCCCTGTTACTTAAAGTAAAATAAAATGGACAAAATAACTTCTTTAAGTAATTAACTTCAGTGCCGATACACATCCAGTTTATTTTAACCTACACAGTGGATGAAGAGAAACTCAAAAACTCAAAATTTTGTAACTTATTGTACTGTTGTCAGGAGATAGAAACTTTCTTGCACAGAGTTATTGTGCAAAGCTGCTTTCAAGGTCATGAGGAATTCCATAAACTTGACATTTTCCTATTTTATATCCAGTTTTTGTATTTTTTGCTGAAACCTTCAATTTGTTCAATGAGTACAGAGCACACTTTCACAGTTAGGCCAAGCACAAAAAGACTGAAATTCTGATGTCAGAGTTCATGAAAACCGTTTCTTGACTGAGTGAGCTGAATAAACTGGACAGGCGTGTTCTGTCAGATCATCCCACCAAGTACAACTTCCTTGTACATATTTTTACACTCTGTTATAAATGCAACATGATGTCACAGAGTTTGCAGATGTATTAACAACAGTTTTAGTAACATGCTCTGGACATACTTTTAAAATGGGATTTTCTAAGCAACAAGCCCTAAAACGAGAAAAGCAAAAATCCCACATTTGAAATTTTGTTTCCTTAATTTTATGACAAAGAAAATTAGTATTTTCTGAATACTGTCTGTCAGTGCTGTTTACATCTGTCTAAATCTCAGCCAAGGATATCTGAGAGTGGATTTGTGGGTTTAGAAGTTGTTGGCGCTCTGTGCGTGTGTGCGTGTGTGTGGGGGGGGGTTGTTGTTGGTCGGAGAGCTGTTTGTCACACATTAAGTGATCGTTCGATGGAATCCGCTGTGACGCTAATGATTGTCTCCGCTGCTCTCTTACCTTCTTACCTGCCTGAAAAAAGTTGGCTTTAAATTTACGGCAGTGATTTATCAGAGATGTGCGGAGCATGGAAGGAGAGCGTGAGAAATAGAGACAGGTGGTTAACAGTGAGTCTTTACAGTTGCCTGTACAACCTGGTGGAGTCTTTCATGTTTTAAGGCTGCATTTCAGTAAATGGTGTTGGAGATCTTGTTAAAATGGAAGAACTATGAACAAAGAAAAGTCAGATTTTGACACACTGCACAAGTCTGGAAGGCATTTGATTGGACTTCATTTTTCAACATCAGAATAATCCCAAACACATTGTCAATTACAGTAAAAGAACACCTTGACTGTACCTGGACCTGCACAATAAAATGGTATCAGTCATGGACTGGCCTCCCCTGAGCCCAAATCTCAACATTACTGAAGCAGTGTGAGAACAGAACAAACAAAGCAAAACAACACATCCAAAGAAGAGTTTTGAATGTCCTTAAAGAAGCCTGGAGAACTATTCCTGAAGACTGTTTAAAGAAAGTACAAGCATGCTGTTTAAGAAAGTTCAGGCTGTGCTGAAGAACAAAGGTGATCCTGCTAAATATAGATTTTCAGGCTCATCTGAACTGTACAAACTCTGACTTGTCTTATATACTGGTTTTCCATGTATGTTTCCTCACGTTGTAATAAATCGCTGCACCTTTGTTTTTTTTTAACCATTTCCTTAGAAAAGTATAAAGAAGTGCAGGGCAGCTCGAACATTTTGCACAGTCATCTCAAAGTATATTTCCTGGAGCAGATGGCTGTGTCTTTTACTTCCCACTTCTCGAAATTGTTACTTTGTTGTTGGAAAAGTTAAAAGTACTTATACTAAAGTCATGATGCATGCTCAATCATCCAGGTAAGGAAATCCTGATGAGTGGCTAAACTTTTCTCCACCTGGAAACGTTACGTCCGGATGAACAGAACTAACTTTTGGGTACTTTTAGCTCGGTGTTAAAGCAGCTGCAAAACCTTCAGCTTAATTTGAAACTGAATGACAGAGTTTTTGTGGATATTGTACATCGTGAACATAAAATCATGCAATACAACCCAGAATCTTCTCTAATTGATTTCAGGTATAGTTGCTGTACATTCCTGCTCTCCGTCTCCCACATGCCTGTATGTCCCTCAGTGTGTTTGGTAAGCACCAAGTCTCAACATGGTGACCAGAATGATTCAGCACATTCATTCAATACATTCTCTAAGCTTAGCCAACTGACTCACCTTGCGGACACTTTTTACGTGACTTCCTATCTCTATATTAAGCTGTGGTGAAGATGTAAAATCCTCAGTGAGGTATAAATGTAAAAAAGGTGAAGGGAGATTTAGATAAAGCAAGTTTTTTCATTCTTTGAACTACATTAAAGCTTCATGAATACGTATCTATGAACAATATAAATGCAGTAATTCTGTCAAGCAGCATTGCGGTGACCTTACCATGAATGGGTTACAAGACAGCAGGCCCCTGGGGTAAGAGATGCACAAGACCACCAACCCTCCTACAGAGGATTAAGACGCCAGGCTCAAGGACACACAAACCACAACTGCGGTGTAGCCGAGCTGTTTTGTGTCTCACTGGAGCAGCGCTGTGCTTTGATTTGAATGTAGGATATCACTTTCTTGCTGTTTTGTCCCATTTTGTACGCTTTTTTTGTTCATTTTATGTCCCTTTGTAGCCACTTTATGCCTGTTCGTTACCATTTTGTATTTCTTTATTTCTATTTAATCGCTCTTGTAGAGATTTTCATCTTTTTGTCATCAAATTATGTATGCTTGTAACAATTTCGCATTTCCTCGTATTCTCATTTCGTTTCCCTTCGTCACTGTTTTTTCTCTTCGTGATCAATTTTAGTTTCTCAGTCTTCATTTTGTATCTTTTCATGGCTAACATAAGTTGCCTTGTACCCATTTTGCATCTTTTTAACCATTTTACACCCCTTTATTGCCACTTTGCACCTCTTCATGCAAGTTAAGTTCACTTTCAGCCATTTGGCCTCCTTTGTCACAAGGTTACACCATTCTCATTTTTCTTCTTGCAGCCATCTCCTCAATAATCAATGACATTGTAGTTATTTTCTGTCACTTCTGTAGCTCTTCATTATGAATTTAAATCTTTGTTTGGACAGTTTGTCATTTGTCAATTTAAGATCAGTTTATATCCATTAAGTTATTCTAAGGAGCTTGGAAAGAAAAGCGTCTGGACTTCTTTAAGTTTCCTTGAAGACGTTTCACTTCTCATCCGAGAAGCTTCTTCAGTTCTAAGAGCAACTGGTGGAGGGTCCCGGATTTTAAGCCCTATGGGAGTTTCCCCCCAAGAGGGACAATGGACCCCCTAATGATCCTCTACCTAATCACATGAGCCAAGGTGTGAAAACTGGTGTAGGTCCCAATCAGCCAGGGTTTCAGGTGAGCTCATTGTGAAACTTGGCCCCACCCCATCGTGTGATTTCCTGAGGTCAGATGACCCAGGATGTGAGTGGGCGTTAAGGTGTCTGGGAAGGGATCTCAGCACTGGATTATAGATGGCAGAGAGTTGGTGTCGTAAACCCCCGCCTCTGTTCAAAGATGGTCGCTCACAGTGGACATAAATGAATTATTTTACTCCTCTTTCAAACAGTCTTCTCTGTCCAAAATGTGAACATTGATATCCTCAATAGAGTGACCTTTGTCCCTTAGATACAGATGGACAGACGATAGAAGCTTCTCGGATGAGAGGTAAAAAAAAAAAAAGGTCTTCAACTAAGCTCAAGTCCTTTTTTAAGCTCCTTAGACTACGATGACGCAGATGACTGAGAACCTTCACATTCCATTAAGTTATTATTTTACATCTCTTTTTTTGGTCAACTTGAATTTGATTGTTGTCACTTTGCTCGCTTCATCTCTTGCGTCCCTTGTGGTATTATCTCCGTATACGTCAGTCTTTTCCTCTAATCTGACATATGGTCACATGTCTGTAGTGTGTATTCAATCAAGTATAACCTGCCCACATCACCACATTTGTTTATTCAACATTTCAGGATGATGGTGAGGAAACACACTACAATACAGCATCGCTTTGTGACACGCCATCAGCTAATAAAATTCCCATCTCCGTCTGACAGTCATTTTGTCATAGTCACGCTGTGTCATACCCACATTATTCTCAACAAACACCGACATGACAACACTGTCTGCATTTAGCATTCCTGTTCATGACTTTCCTTTTCTTCTTTTCTCTGGGAATCAAATCCGTGACCTTTAAAGTGAAAGCTTGCCTATCATAATTTAATCCACTTGACATAACTTTCAGTCAGAAATTATCAGTTCGATGCTCTGATGCTTCTTATCATGGAAATCAAACAGAGGCGGCAATGAACAACCAAATACATAAAAACATATTTTGTCTTTGTCTCTATGTTTTCATGTTGGGTTAAACTCTGTGTGTGTGTGTGTGTGTGTGTGTGTGTGTGTGTGTGTGTGTGTGTGTGTGTGTGTGTGATCATGCTCAAGATCAAGTGAGATTATTTACCTCTTGAACTGTTTGAGAAAAATTGCAATGTTCATCCCTCGCTTAGCATCTAGGATGGAAACCTGAGTGAGAGAGAGAGTCAATCTGAGGTCAAAGCCCTGGTGGAAACTGTCACACACACTTCACTCCATCTCCCATGCCTTCAACAAACAGCAGCACACGCAGCCCTGCATCAAAAACACACCTCCTGTTTGGTCTCTCTAAATGAGCTGCTGGTTTTCCCTCCCCTGGCGGGCGTTGCCAGGGTTTTTGATTGACCGTCATGTTGACCGAACAGCTCTTCGACAGTCTGAGCGTCAATCTCGTATTTCTGTTTCACTTGGCCTTGAGTCCATAGGTTGAGCCGTCCCTTTACCTGAGACACAGACTTTAGTAATGTAATAGCCGTTTTATGAAAGTGCTCGATTTCTCTTTGGACTCAAGCGTTTTCAGAGAGGTGCTTAGTCATCATTTACGTTTGCCAGTAAGCAAAACAACGTAATATATATGTTAAAACAATGTGCTGAGACAAATGTAAAGCAGGAACTCTACCTGCTCCTCTGGAATCGTTTTCCAGAAAAAACTCCTCACCCTCCTTTTCTTCTTCAGCCCACCAGCGGGGTGTCCAAGCTCTGGTGGCAGAGGCAGTAGGGGAGGAGGAGGTGGGGGAGGTGGTGGAGGAATGTCAGGTGATTTCATCTGGTTATCTTCTATGTCAGCATACCTCGATGGAGGACGAGGAGGAGAAGGGAGAGACATTGTCACGGTAACAGCTACATCCTCTTGTTGGACAGAGAAATCTTGGCTCCCAGTGGCCTGCGAGACGCTGCCCATCACATGCATCCCTGCTGCTGATGGGGCAGTCGAGGACAGGGGAGATGGTGGGTTTGGAGGCAGACTGTAAGATCAGTGGGCCGATTAACTGACCATTGTGAAGGGTATAGTTACGAGGATGAAGATGGGTCATCGCATTTGAAACATCGGATGACACCAAGGTCAGGTTACGAGATCTAAAGATGCTGGTAAGCAAAAGAAAGGAGAAAATTAATGTTAGCTTTAAGTGAGAGAATTAGCTAAGCTTGTTATTAAATCTAAATATACAAAATCTTTGTGACCCATAGGGAGAACCAGAAACAAATTTTGAGTTTACAGTAGAAAACACATTTTACAGACGCAGCAGTTACAGTAACAGGTTTGTGAGAGAAATGCAGTTCATTGCCCATCCACCAACGGCCATTTGAGGCTGGTTCCAAGAGGGAGTCAAGCCACACAAACTCCCACATTACATTTTCAACCTTACAGTACCAATAGACATGTCCACTTCTGGCTCCAACTAAATCTCATGGTAGCAGCCGACGTGCTAACAACTGGTGAGACTTCAAAATTGAGAGTCCAAAGCCAGGTGGGGATATCAAATGATTATATTTATTCTATGGGAAAAACTTCAATAACTAATCAAGTTATTGCAAAAGAACAAAGTAAAGAGACCGCCCAATAACCCTCTGCAAAAATATGTATTCCCCAGCTGTTTGGCTAATGGTTGCTGAAAGGTGCTTTCGACTCGACTCTCAGAGGATTGCTGCAGTGGCATTTATGCACTGGAAGACGATGACTTGTCTGGAATTACTCACCAACTATTCACCAAACAGCAAAAAAATAAATAAAACAGAAACAGTGGTTTTCAAAGTAGAGGTTGGCAAGCATTTGCAGACAAGTTATTGTATTGGCTTTTGACTAAAGCAATGACAGGTATGTTTTTGGTGCTTTACGACTGAATGAAACAAGTGACAACCAGCAAGCTCTGACAACCACTCGCTACCATTCAAGGAGACACTAGCCGTTCTCTGCGTCTGTGTTTCTGAAGCTACCGTTTTTTGATCTTTCACAATTTTTTTGCACTTCTTCCCTTTTACAATAATCTCAGCTGATGTTCTCTTTCCTGTTCATGATAACTTTTCAAATAAACCAGTGTTTGACCTCCACGTAGTGCCAATGTGATAGAGCTATGCCTGTTATTTTATATTTTTAAGGTCTGCCTGTAGCTGAATTTCTATAATCTTTAGCAAAAAGATACACACAGATAAACATTACACACATTACGTGCATTACACAATCAACTCCAAGCCCAATATAAGGTTTTTTAACTCTCCACCAACTGTTGAAGGAAATATCTGGAATTTTAGGATGCATGTCGACTATAAGAAAATTACTTTTTCTTTGTATTGGGTAATTAAGACAGAAAACCTCAAGTAAGCTGAGAGCATTTTTTATATTTGGTATGACAATAATCAACAAACAGTGTCACTGTGATAAGACTAATCGTGTTCACTGGAATGCAAAATGTAAAAAGCTGCTGCAGAGAGAAAAATGACTTTGGCACGTAAGCATGTTGGTCTCATGCTGACATTCATCTGTATTATTCATACTGTGGGTGTGTGAGTGTAATTACATGAAAAGCAATTAAACATTTATAAAGTTAAACATTTGCTTTTGAGTCGTGTATGTGTTTCTACCGTTTTTGTTAAGCCTTTTTCCTCCATTGAAAATTGTTGTGTTTGTTTTTCAAACAATTAAACACCTCCAGCAGTTCTCAGATCTCCTTCTCTTCTTAACCCGCTCAGGCTCAAATTAAACTTTTAGTTGCTAATGCACAACCAAGTCCTGCAGTGGTACTTCTGAGTAAAAAAAACTCATAAAATATGTATGTGGGGTAATCAGGTCTGCCTTGAGAGGGTTAACACACATTTCATTACCTCTTCAAACATCACCAGCCTCACCTGGATGTCAAAGCATCTGCTGTACAAAGGTACGCTTAGAAATTGAATATATTGTGACCTATCTAATAAATGAAGAGTCTGGTTCAGACATTGAAGTCCCCCAGAGGATGAATCCTGCTGGTTTTTGGGGTTTGAGTGACATAACTAAGGTTTGATGCTATATAAATAAAATTTAATTGAATGCGCTTTAGATATACACGCTCCTCAGAGGATGAATCTTCTTGACTTTTTCCCCCCTCCCACTGCCTTTTATTCCTAGGACCACCATGAACAGGATTATTGTTGTTTCAACTAATGCTGTAGATGGATTGCTGTACAATCTGGCTTAGACGTTCATGTTCCCCAGAGGGTGAATCCTTCCTCCAGCAGTATCTCCCCCCTGGTTTAACATTTGTGGTTTTGAGTGGAATATCTCTACAACTGTTAAATGGATTGCACTGAATATGGATGAGACATTCACATTCTCCAGCATATCAATCCTACTGATTTTATTAATTCTCTTTGTTTTTCCGTAGCACCACCATAGTGTTGCCATGTGCTGCCTAACTATTAAACTTCGGTCCTCAACATGTCTACCATCATCGTGGGATTTATTGCAATCAAAACCACCAAAGTATCTCAGGATATGTTACTAGAAACTGATTGCTGTAAAATCGAGTTCCTCTAAGGAGGATGAATCCTAAGGTTTAGATGATTGTCTAACTTTCCTAGCAATAAAATAAGATTGAAATTTTTGATTTTGAGTAAAATATCACAATTACTGAGTGGACCTCTCTCCAAAGCAGGAATCCCACTAACTGTTTTGTTCACCTGATTATCATCATGGCACTGGACCTTTGTTGTTGTATTACTGTACAAGGATTGATGCAAAGCCTAGGTTTAGCATTCATTTAGACACTAAGGATCAAGCCCACTTTTTCTTTTTTAATCCTCTATTGACATTTGTGGTTTTGAGTGAAATAACAGTTATTGAATAAACTACGGTGAATTCTGGTTTAGATGTTTATTCCTCTCCGGACTGAGCAGAAAACTTCATGATTAATGTAACTCTTACTCACCATGATGAAGAGCATTGTTAATTGCAGTTTTTCTAATAACAACTCCTTTGGCGTTTTTGACAGCCACCGGCAGGAAGCCCACGAATGAATTATTTAATACATACAAGATTCCCCAGTGTGAAGTTCTGGATACATGTCGACAGAGATACACACTTCCTGCTGTTGAATTAGAGATGAGTGTGTTACGTAAGTTAATCTCACAACATTGTTTTTCAGCCAAATTTCATTTATGTTGATTGTGTGTAAATGTTTACAATTAGTCAAAAATGAGAAAAATATTTTCTTTAATCTCTCGGGATATTAAGTTAGTTGTTTGTTTGTTTTATTTGTTTTCTTAGAGCATATCTTGTATTTTAAAAACATTTATATTTCGATTATTATTTTTATTAAAAATTTAACAAATGAAAATATATTTATTAATTTTAATAAATTAAATCTAATAACATTTTATAAATGTAATAAAATCAAATAAATGAACAAAAATTATTAAGAAACTAATGTTTCTGTGAGCAGCAAACTTTCCAGTAAAAACGTGATGTGCTGGCTTTGCTTTACTTATTTGGTGTCGTTAGTGTTTTTCAGTTGCAGAAGCATGAGGGTTTGGGTCGGCATGCATGGCTGTGGCAACTAGTCATAGTATTGCTGATTGTCATGGTAACACAAACAATGACAGTTTGTATACTTGGCAGAGAACACATTTAGGTCACAATGTGCACGTGCGTTAAAAACTACACATACATTATCCTTTTCTCCTGAACACCCTGAGATCTGTTTTTTTCTCTCGCATCTCTTCATCCTCAAAGGACCACAAACAAAACATTTTGACAACTTTCTCTCTTTAAACAGTTTCAGGCAGTTGATTTAAAATGTTAGTGATGATGAGGTCCAATCACATAACTCAAAATGCAAAAATGCCAAACTGTTGACCTGGTTCTCATGAAGGTTTCTAATTGGACAATGGGGTTGTGCGGTAGAGGAGGAGCCACAAAAGTACAAACAAGAATGGCCACACTCACACAAATCAACAAAAATAAGAGCAGAACAGCTCCAGAGATAAAGAAAGCGCGGAAAAAACACAACATGTAAATGGATGACAACGAAACTAAAATATGACTTTAACGTGGCATTAAAAAGCCATAAAGACCAACTACAGTAACAAGAACAGGAAACTACCAACAGGAAATATAGCCACATGCAAAGAACTACAACAGTCCACAAAAAAGCTACAAACAGATGCAAAATGACCAAAAAACCCAAAATGTTTAACAATGACACAGAAAACATTAACAAATAGACACAAAAAGCAATAAATGAACACAAACTACCCAAAAGGTAGCAGAAAATATTCACAAAAAAATAAAAATCACAGAAACAAAGTGACTTAAAGACCACACAGCGTTAGCATAGCCCAACAAATAGTATAATACCTCAAAGACAGACACAAAAACAGCAATGCACAAAAAGAAGAAGAAGAAGATTCAGACAAATGGATAAAAAAAACAGCCACAAGCCGATTTAAAAAAAATTAAAACAATTAAAACAAAAAAAATGCACATAAAGAAAAAAGACATACAGCTGATCAAAACAACCACAAAGAGACACAAAATCACCCATAAAAAGTAAAATGTCACAAATAAACAAACATAGGTCACCATGGCAGGTACCAATAGGTGACTGTGATAGTAAAACATGCAGAAAAACAGCAACAACAATCCTCAAACAGCTACAAAAAGAAAAACTAAATGTACAGAGACAAAGACATGGAAAAAGGCTGCTAAGAAACAAAAAAGACAAAACAGCCACAAAGAGACACAAATTATCCACAGATATATTTTAAAAAACAAATAAACAAAAGAGACATAAAATCAAGGTGACAATATAACTGAAAATAAACAAAAACAGCAACAAAGTAATCAAATAAATCCCCCAAAAAGTAAAACAAAATATTAATAACAACAATAAAAGAGTCATAAATATAAAATACAAACAGAGAAACAAATCACTCACAAAATGAAACAGAAACTGAAAAATGTAAATTTAAAAGAACACAAAAAACGAGCCAAAAATAAATCAGGAACAAAAAAAATAAATAAACAAGAAGATTAAAAAGTTGTGCAGGAGGTGATCTGAGTGATGAAAGCATCCCCCGATTTACATTTAGTGTCTAAATGTTTTATATACAAA